CTCACCACAGTCCTGGAAGGTAGAAAGCTCTCTGTCCAGGGATCTCAGGTTGTAATCAGCTTGATTCTTATTTCACAGTTTGGATTTCACATAATCCATAAACATCGACTGTTTCCAGGTAAGAATTTGTGTGAAAGGAATCAAGGTTGTGTAAAAAGCCTCACAACCCACTGTGGTAAAATGAAAATAGCACATAAGCAGGTGCACATGGGAGGTTTTGCTGACAATTTGTACATAGCTTCCTAGAGCTACTGTGGCTATTGTGACAAAGGGCACAGTGCTGAAGCAATAGAAATTGTTAGTCTCCTAGGTTTTGGTGTGTGTTATCTGAGATCACACTACTTATAAGCTAATCCCTCCTGATTCTTTTGTGTTGGTGGCAATCCGTGCTGAACTGTCCCTTGGCATCATCCTAGTGACTTCCTCTTCACATTCTTCTTGTATGCATTCTTAATGTTCTGATCTTCCTCCTCTTTACCGACACTGGCCATATTGAAACACTTTACTTAAGTATGATTTTATCGATCTTTTTCTTATTCAATAAAATGCATTTTATTGGCATAAACCATGTAAACTGATGCAGCAAAGAAGTGACTTGGTGCTTCAATGTACTCACTTCCATTTATTCTTTTTTAATTTTTTTTCTTTCCTATTATTAATTACAGTTCATTCACTTTCTATCCCGGCTATAGCCCCCTCCCTCATCCTCTCCCAGTCCCACCCCCCTTCCCTTTCCCCCTTCCCTAGTCCACTGATAGAGGAGGTCCTCCTCTCCTTCTATCTGACCTTAGCCTATCAGGTCTCATTGGGACTGGATCCTCTTTCTCTGTGGCCTAGTTAGGCCACCTTGCCAGGGGGAGGTGATCAAAGAGCCCATGCTCCCCCTTACTACGGAACCAACATGGAGACTGAGCTGTCCATAGGCTACATCTACTCACTTATAAGTGAATACTAGACATATAGTATAGGATAAGCATACTAAAATTTATAATCCTAAAGAAGCTAAACAACAAGGAGGACCCTAGGGAAGAGGCTTAATCCTCATTCAGGAGGGCAAACAGGATAGACATCAGAAGTAGGAGAAGACAGGGAACAGGACAGGAGCCTTCCAAAGGGGAAGGCTTTGAAAGACTCTATCCATCAGAGTATCAAAGCAGATGCTGAGACTCGTAGCCAAACTTTGGGCAGAGTGCAGGGAATCTTATCAAAGAAGGGGGAGACAGAAAGACCTAGAGGGACAGGAGCTCCACAAGGAGACCAACAGAGCGAAAATATCTAGGCTTAGGGTGACTTGCAGAGACTGATGAATCAACCAAGGACCATGCACAGAGAGGCCTATAGTTTTATCTTAACCTAGCTAGCTGGTTATTAGTAAAATGATACTATTTTTCAATCAAGGCCATGTTCTAGGTGCTTCGGTCTAGACTTTGGAATGGAATGGAATTTATACCATAATAATGGCCAGTATTATGTTCCTTGCTTATCAGACATAAAGATTTCCTAAAAATCAGATCTTGTTAGTGTATTTATATGTTATATGTGTTATATGATAACTAAGATGTCAAAAGTATATCAGACACTATTTTAGCTAGTAAACTAATTATGTCTATAAACTCACAGAAATAAATGAGAAATGCTGACTTTGGAAAATAGAGTAGCATTCTTATGATTATCTCATTACTTTGCCAAGATAAAATTAATCACATTTTGACTAGTTGAAATACACAGACTGACCCACTCAATGAATTATAGCAGAATCCAAATCAAGTAGCTGATTTCTGTAAACATTACTCCTTGTGCTGAAAGCTTTCTACCAGCAGCTGAGATTTCTAGAAGCCTGTGAGGACTTACGGAGGAACACAGGAGGCTGGCCTGTTTTATTACCAGTTCTTGTAGGTCAGTGTCAGCACAACTCAGAATAAAGCTACAGGGGGAAAACACAAAAGTGAACCCTGAGCCCACACGCCTGACATTTGCTGTGTTTGTTTGAAAATGAGATGATGAAGTTAAGACACGATATTTCCTCTTTTCTGTGCGGATACGGAATTAAGGAGAAGCAAGGCACAACAGGTACTTCCTTCCAGTCATGTTTTACTGCTTCAATAAATAAACTAATTTAAACTTTATTTTAAAATTTTAAAAATATTTGACTTATTTAAAACTATGTTGATACAATTATATTAAAATTACCTATAACTCTCATAGTCAAGATGATTCCAGAAGACATTTTGACAGCCATGGGGTAGATACTGTTTCAATGAATAGCTTTATGATTTTGAGATTTTAGCATTTAAAAAATATTGAAGCAGTCTTTTGGGAGTCTAATTTTTACGTTCCATTAAGCCATTCCCAATACTATCTTATCACTGACTTACTATATGGGGATAACATTATTTTTTTAACCCATTCCCTATCGTTTGGTATTTGATATATTTAGAATTTTTTTTTAATTCCTGAAATAGAAAACCTAAAATTTTTTTCTACGTTGGCCATTTCTCAGTAGAACATGATAAACTATCAGATTTAAGTAAGGATTTTAAATTTTTTTATACTTCTTTAGTGAGTATGTGATGTACATATATGTATCTGTGTGGGAGTCCAATGTGCACGCATGTGTGTAGAGGTGAGCACACATGCCATGGTCAGAGGACATTCAGGAGTTTTACTACACGGGTCCCAGAAACTGAACTCAGGTCATCACCATTTACTCTCTCAGCCATCCCACATGCCCTAAGTGAGAATTTCTAAAAGATATATGGCTATGTAAATTAAGTAAAAAAATCCTATTTCTGAGCAAGCCTGTAGAGAGTCCAGTGTGATGTTTCCATGGTCTTACATCTGAAGACTCACTCCAGGAGAAGCATAGTAAGAGCGTTGTCTCTTCTCCAATACACTAGCTTTTCCTACTTTGTTTATATGTGTTGATGAGGTCTCTATCTGATATGTTAAGTTGTCCAGCTTTATTTATATTCCTTAATAATGTTCAAGAAACAAAATTCAAGCCAGAATATTCACTTGGATGGCTAATATTAAGAATTCTTGGAAGGGTTCATTTGGAGAATATGGATTTTAGTATATATGAATAAGAGCACTACCTCCTTTTTCAAATCTAAGATAGCCTCAGTTATGAGTCGCACTGGTGTTTTGTGTGCTGCTAAGCAAGAGTAAACATGAACAATAATATGCAATTAATTGTAAGACACGAGAAAATGCATTAGGTTGACAAGACACACAGTATTAAATCCCAAAATGTTGTTGGTAAGAAACAGAAGACTATTGTCATGAACCATGTCGAGAACCATGTCATCTTTCTTCACTCACTGGGCTGTAGTTCATGACTCTTTAGCTGAATACAGCCTCTTCATCTCTCTCATCTTCTTCCCAGGTGTTGGGAGGTGCTCAGGCGTGACCAGGAGCAGCTTCTGGATGGGATCTCTAAGTTGGACATCAAGACTGGAGGTGTCCCCTCCCAGCTGCTGGTGCATGGGTCCCTGGCCTTTTCTCTGGGGCTAGATACTGACCTTAGCTGCTTCTTAGCTGCTGCCCACTATGGCCGTGGCCGCGTGGTGTTGGCTGCACATGAGGCCATGCTCTGTGATTCTAAGATGGAGCCCTTTTTGTTCAATGCTATACGTTGGTTGGCTAAAGATCAGGGAGACAATATTGGGGTGAACAAGTGCCTCAAAAATCTGCATTCCTTATTGTTGGAGCGTGGGTTGAAATGCAGCCTGAAGTCCCATTTGGCCAATGACATGTGTGTCTACTGCTGTGTGGCTTATAGTGACCAGGATGCCAAGAAAATACAGGAGTTTGTCGCAGAGGGTGGAGGCTTGCTCATTGGTGGCCAGTCCTGGTGGTGGGCTTCCCAGAACCCAGGCAGCTCTGCTTTGGGTGGTTTCCCTGGGAACATCATACTCAACACCTTTGGCCTCAGCATCTTGCCTCGGACCCTCAGCCCCGGCTGTTTCCCTGTCCTCCCTGCAGAGATAAGGGACTACCACTTTCGAAGGGCTCTCTCTGAGTTCCAGGCTATGTTGAACCACAAAGGTGGGAACTTAGAAAAGAAGTATTTGGTAAGGTTGGGAGTAGATGCTTCTGGCTTCCTTCAGATACCTGCCCAGGGAATTCCTGCTTATATATCTGTGCACCGGATCTTGAGGAAGATGCTGCGACAGTCAGGCCTCCCAGCTGTGAGCAAGAGAAATCCAATTTCCAGTCATTCCTGCGAGGCTGCAATGCTACATATAGCCACAGAGCTAGCACATTCTGGGACTGACTGCTCCCAGCTAGCTCATAGCCTTGGCACTCAGACTGACTCCTCCAATCTCTGCCCCTCAGAGCACCCAATTACGGTGGAGATCAATGGAACCAACCCAGGTATGGCATAAGCAGAGAATGCCCAGAGTGTTCTTGGTCTGGGAGAAAGTGGGTTTGGCAGACTTTGCAGAACCTGAAAGGTTCTGATCCTCAGGAAGGCTAGCTCCATGCTTTCCTAGATACTTCTAAGACTGTGAGAGCTGGGACTGTGCTTAATTGAGCCAAAGAGGAATGGGTCTAGGAAGTGTGGAGGAATGACTTGGCGTTTGTAGAGTAAAAGTGTCATCTGTAGGAGGTTCCAGGTAGAGTCAGGCCAGGTAGGAAGAGGAACTCAGCCTTCTCTATGACTTGTCAGGTGACAGTGATGCCTGGATGAGCACTGGGCTCTACCTCCTGGAAGGACAAAGTGCAGAGATCTTTCTCTCTGAACCTGCTGCTTCTGCTGGCCTGAAGGTAAGGCTAAACACCAGAACCAGCACCTCCCCCCAAACAGCCAAGATTCCCCCACACCACACAGTTGTTCACTCTCTGCTACTGAGAAAGATATCAGGGGAGGGTTATTCTACCCCTCTTGTAGATGGACAGGACAGCAGAACGTTCAACCTACTAATGACCTAAGCTCATTCCTAACTGATTTCCATGTGTGACAATCTTACCTGCTTAGAGGAAAAAGAGTAGCCTTATATACCAGCACTCACCAGTTTTCCTGGTAGCAGAGACCTGAGTTTTACCTCTTTATCTTGACATCTGAAGGTTGTGCTAATCCCATTACCAGCATCGTGACTTCCATTTAGAATTTAAATTCTTCTGCCTTTTCAGCTCTGAGCATCATTTTCTCATTTCCTACTGCAGTTAGGAGCTCTTTTTTTTTTTTAACTTTTGAGATAAGGTTTCTGTATGTAGCCTGGAACTCATTCTCTAGAGCAGGCTGGCCTCTAACTCACAGAGGTCTGCCTGCCTCTGCCTCTTGAGTGCTCAGATTAGAGGTGTGTGCCACCACCGCCGCCTGGCTTGTTAGGCACTCTTATATCAGCATTCTCTGTGATTTTTCTGCTTCAGTCAGATAAAGGTAAAAAGGTAATCCCAGAACTCTAGACAGAGCAAGTAAGAGTGAGCTGGGCAGAGAGGAGAGGATGAGTTCTCTGCTTCCTGGCCAGATTCTGTAGCATCTGGATGGACTTGGATCTGAACAAAGGGTGGACTTGGATACCCTGCCTCACTAAAGCAGAGCCACCCGGTGTTCAAGTCTCATATAAGAGCCCAGGATTCTCTACGAGTTATGCCCGGTGATTAGCCAACTCATATCAAATGGAAACTGACTGTAGGACTTTTATATCCATAAAAGTTTAAATTATACTATTAAGTCCAGAAGACTTTGGAGTGTTACAGTTTTCTTGGTTGTATACATCCTTCACAGAAGAGAGCTGTTAGGATTCCATATATAATCACCACCCTCTCATCATGTAGTGCAATTTTCTGTCCAGGTGCAGGTTGGATGTCACACCGATGACCTTAGCAAGGCCAAAAAGCTGTTTTGAGCCCCTGTGGTAACTTACCGGTGTTGTATGGACAGAATCCAACGGTCAGTCTCCTGCCTCTGGGGTGGTCTCCTGTACATCATTGTGCCCAAGGGCTGCCAACTTGGCCCAGTATCTGTTACCATCGGGAAGGCAGTGCCTTCCCCATACTACAAACTAGGTAAGTACACTGGACATTGAGGGAAGATTGAGCTGCAGGCACCTTGGTGACTGCGGGGTTGTTGTTAATAACAAGGATCAGTAAAGAGAGAGAGAAAAAAAACAGAACTAGTCAACATGAGTCTGCAGACAGTAGGTAGGTTGCCCTATGTCTATGGAGACTTTGGGTGCAACAGAATAGTTGCACAGCTTGTCCTTCAACCAAAGACTATGGACCTGCATGATCAAAGGTCATTATATCCGTGCTTTCTTTCTGGAATTTCCCTCCCTCCCTCCCTCCCTCCTTCCCTCCCTCCCTCCCTCTCTCGTTCTCTCTTTCTCCTACTCTCTCTTTCTGGCTGTTTATGTCTGTCTCTCTCTGCCTCCATTTCTCTCTGTCTTTATCTGTGTCTTTCTGTCTGTTTCTCTGTATTTGTCTCTGTCTGTCTCTCCTCAAATGGAAATGGGTGGCAGGTACCATGCTATGTTTTTCTAGGTAAGACATCGCTGAAGGAGTGGAAGAGCTGTATCCAGGAGAACCTGGGCCCCTGGGGAGAGCTGGCCACAGACAACATCATCCTGACAGTGCCAACTACGAGCCTCAAGGATCTGGAGGATCCAGAGCCTCTGCTCAAGCTCTGGGATGAGATGATGCAGGCTGTGGCCAGGCTAGCAGCCCAGCCCTTCCCTTTCCAAAGGCCTGAAAGAATTGTCGCTGATGTGCAGATCTCAGCCGGTGGGTGCCCTAGTGCTCTAATGAGAAAACTCTGTTTTACATTTCATGTAGTTCCCAGAGTTGTAAAACATAATTTTGTCATTAAAGTGCAAGGTGTGTGGAGAGGGAGAAAATAAAAGCATGGACCATGATGGGGGTGAAAGCTACTTAGAAATAAAAGGCACATCATTGACCTATTATATGATGCAGTTTCCAAAGACAGTAAATATGCCCAGAAACTAGGTGCTAGGAGGTGACCAGTGTTCATTAAGATCTTTTCAAAAATAATATTCAAAATGGACTACACTCTTTAGATATAAGTCAGAACTGAACATGAAAGGGCAGGGTGAATACAGATGTCTGTGGTAGGTACTGGTACCCAGTGCTTTGCAGGGAAGATATATAAATGTAGGGATACGGTCCAGGGTCCTGGTTCTCACATAAGGAAGATAAATTCTTAACTACAAAACTGTCTCTATTATGCTATGCAAATCTGGTTAACAATGCTGATTTGGGGAAAGACTGACATGAACCTCACTTCTCTGGTTCAGACATAGGGCATCATAGCCTAGACTCACAGTCAAAGGAAGCTCCTGAAAACAAAGCATCAAGTTCCAGGAAGGACAGTTATATAAAGTATCTTCTGAAAGGTGTTTCAGGGTTAGTGTGAGGACAAGGCCAAAACTCAGTTGGGAGAATCTGGGAACGGGTCAATTACTGTAGGAAAGCCATGTGCTTTCCAGCCGGCTCCTATAGTGTGCAATCACTAGATACAGCCAGGATTGTAATGGAGAAGCTCATCAGTGAAATGGGTGGGAGGAGAAAGTTGAGGCAGATGCTGCACTCATGCTCCATCTATTTCTCTGCATGGCCAGGCTGGATGCATTCGGGATACCCCATCATGTGCCACCTGGAGTCTGTGCAGGAACTCGTCAATTTGACAACCATACGAAGTAAGGGCCTGTGGGGACCCATCCATGAGCTGGGCCACAATCAGCAGCGCCGGGGCTGGGAGTTCCCCCCCCCACACCACCGAGGCCACCTGCAACCTCTGGTCAGTCTATGTCCATGAGACAGTCCTGGGCATTCCCAGGGCTCAAGCCCACCCTGCCCTGAAACCTGAAGAACGAGAGAGGAGGATCAAAGAACATCTTCAGAAGGGAGCACCCCTGTGCAACTGGAGTGTCTGGACAGCACTGGAGACATATCTGCAGGTACTGAGCAAATTCAGGGACAAGGTGAAGACAAGACTCCTCAGTCATGTAGTCAGGCTACAGTTCTCTGACTCGTATATCACTCCCACAAACCTGAGCCGCCTCCACCACTCCTGGTAGTACCACTGGTAGTACCCTTCAGCTTGCACACTTGTTTGATATAAGTGACCCATGCCGCTCCCTGACCCATCATTTTGGAATAGTCATGAAAATGGAAAGTTTTCTAAGAAACATTACATAGTGCGTTTGTCAGTACTATCCTGAAACTTGACTTAGAGGGAAGGCTCTGAATCAGATATTCCTGAGACTGCTACCGCTCTTCCTCTCACTGGCTTTTTCCTTCATCCCCTAATAACTTTCATAATAGCCATTATTTTGTTGTGTTTTGTCTTTCTTACTTTTACGGGATGAGTGACTATTAACAGCCTCTTATAATGACAGGAGCATGTCTACAGGGCAGCTGCATTAAGTAGGTACTATAGGAAATAAATCTATTAAAAAGTTTCCTGGGCTTTGACAATCCCACTAGAAGCAGAAGGATTGTTTGAATAAATAATGACCAACCAATGGGAGAACAATGAATTTACAAAATTAGTTCATTTCCTGTGGATAAGCATATCTCCCTGTCTCCTCCCAAAAATGTGCTTCCAATTTTCATGCCAAGTCATCACAGCTTCTGTCCACACTAGACCTGTTGCCCTGTCTACCACCACCCTATGCAGAGGGCTTATGTAGCTCCCTTGTCAGAGGCTCTGAAGTCATAAAGAACTGAATCACCATATCCAAGAGCAAAACCCTCGTAAATGACAGATTGAGAACTTAAAACCAGGAGTTACCAGAAAGCCCTGGCTTCTTAGGCTGCTACATTCTAAATTTTCCCTTCACTGCTTTTGAAGAGTGAATGAGATATGGTATCAATCAATGCATACCTCGATTCTTACACTAGAGAATGCACTTAAGTTCTGGATAATACATTTTTAAAAAATAAAACTAATAATAGTGACTGTCATTTATCTTTTTACATAGTATGGCTCCTGCGAGCACCTTTACTGGACTGAGGGATAAAGTTTGATGATCAAGAGCTACTGTGATCCAATGAGGTAGCATTCATAGGGAGACACAGGACCCAGGATAGGGCAGTCAATGGTTTTGAAGCTGATGATAGGAAGAACTCACTGACTGTAAGATAATACCTATGACCACGAACAGGCAGCAGTCACTTTGGGACACTCAACACCACATTCTTCCTTTTCTTTCTCTTCCCAGCTCCAGGAGGCCTTTGGGTGGGAGCCATTCATCCAGCTCTTTGCTGAGTACCAAACCTTTTCTCACATCCCCCAGAACAATGAGTGCAAGATGAACATATGGCTGAAGTTGTTCTCTGAAAAGGTGCAGAAGAACCTGGTTCCTTTCTTTGAGGCCTGGGGCTGGCCTATTCAGAAGGACATGGCTACTGACCTGGCCAGCTTTCCTTGCTGGCAGGATCACCCCCTGAGGATGTACATAGAGGAGTAAGGGCTGTGGAGGAGGAAGTTGGGAGGTGGGCGCTGGGGTGTGATGGGGAGGAATGAGGAAGCATCATACTGTTCTACTGTATTCTGGCTTGGGATACTCGCTGCCTTAACTGTTTTATCAACTGTTTGTCTTTAAAACATATTTTGGCTTGTTTTAAATATCATTCTATGCTTTCTTGAGAAAGCTCCTTGTGATAATGAACCTAGAAAACATGCCTTTCCATCTCATCAGTACATCCTCAACTCAGGGACCATTTGCTTAGATATCTCCAGTATCGCTTGGGTGGTGCTTCGCACAAGGAAAGCACTAAGGAAATACTTGCTATATGAAAGATCACCAAAGACTCCTAACACAGAAGAAAAGTCAGTCCATTGTCCTAGGACTTGTGTACAGCATTTTCTATGAATGACACAGATAATTTCCCAGCAGACTTCCAAGGCAGATACAGGTAACCTTTGCTCATCACACAGGAGAAAATGACGTGGATATTAAAACAACTTCTGTAGTCGAAGCTGAGAAGAGTTTGACAGATGTACATAATAATGATAAACTATAGATCTTATCCTCAATAGGTTTATGATTTTAACAAAAATTTGCCCAAAAAATAGACGAAAGCTTAATGACCTTTAACTTTTTTCCTATGCTTATTATTGAATTTTGACTAAATACCAGGTTAAATCTCTAAGTGGCTTTGCTGTCTGATTTTCTCTTTACTTTGTATAGACTTGTGTGCCTTGGGATACCAGCCTTGGGAAAATATTTGAACTAAGAAATTTCTGTTCCCAAACTGGTGATATTCTCTCTTTTTTTTTTTTTTTTTTTTTTTTTGTCAGTCAGCTTTATTTCCAACAGAAATCACTAAATATTTATACATATTTATATAAATTATGCAATGCTCTTCAGCATTCTTAATTGTGAGGGGAGGGAGAGTTGAGTCGAAATGTAATGCAAGAATTAATGGGTTATCTAAGAGACAAAACAAAAACCTAACTTTGTACACACTATGTTTCTTTAGGATCTAGAGTGGTAGTTTCTTCTTAACCCTGCAAACAGTCTCAATTCTTGCTTTTATGCTCATGGTTAATTATCTGTGGCCCACATATTATGCTTGAGTAAAAAAAAAAAAATTCTTTTCATAATTTTATAGCTCTATTTCTAGCAACATAGGAGAATAATATTCAAGAACAGTAAACTCAGACAAAGCCCAGGCGTGAGTGTGGGGGGGTGTCATGGAGTCTCACTCTAGTTGGAAAGCTGTTGGCAATCTGTGCCTGCTGAGAGGAGAGTCAGCTTTAGACATGTAACCCCTGAGAGGCTCCCTTTGCACCACACACATGCCATACAGCACTAAGTGGACTCGGTGGGCTTAAAAAATGAGCACACGTGTTTAGGAGCAAAGGGATAGGGGAGGGATGAGAAGGAAATGGGGAGAGGTTTTGATTAAAGCACCTTATATGCATGTATGGGATTCTCAACCAATAATAAAGAACAATAAGTTAGATACAAGCCCAGACTTTCTTCTTGTGATTTCTCTTAAACTAAATTTTGGCTGCTCCCTGTACAGGGCCCTGGTGTGCTTTCGTTGAGTCTCTTTGATGAACTACTTTCTTACTTTAGGTCAAATCAGTTCTCCTTTGTCTGCAATTCAGACACAAATTGGTTTGAAAGGCATAAAGGACACAGGATCCCAGCTTTGCACATCTGATCTACACCTTTTAAACTCGATTAGTTCAAGCAATGGAAGATGATCCAGGTCAAGGAGACGAAGTTCAAGTTGCAGACTTTTAGTACATAATTGGGACACAGATGTTGCCTTTGGGATTAAGGAGAAAAACTAAGCTTGATCAGATTGCCCAAAACTTTAATCATTATAGTTAGACCAAGAGATGGTTGAGGAAATGTTATTCTTTTTTTTTTTCTGTTGTTTCAGAAATTTCATGGCATTACACACTTTGAAATTTCATAATGTAAGCATATTACTCATAGCTATGGAAACCATTTTTAACGGTTTCTTTATTTTAATTTTATATGCGTTGGTCTTTTTGCCTGCATGTATGTCTGTCTGAGGCTGTCAAATCACTTGGACCTAAACTACAGACAATTGTGAGCTGCCATGTGGTCACTGGGAATTGAACCGGGGTGTCGCTCTCGTTTTTAAACTATTTTATTTGGGGGTATTTAAGCCTCTACTTCCCTTCCACCAGCCTTTTAACCCTAGGTAAGAGAGAGAAGGTTAGTGAGGAGAGGGGGCGCAGACCCCTTTATTTCTCCTGGCTGCTTAGAGTCAATGGGTTTTGGGGGGCCTATACCAATCTCCTTCAACAGCTAATGCAGCAAGCAGTTTCCTCCAAGCCACTGCACCGAAACATTTCTCTCCATCTGTCTCCTCCAAGCCACCTGGTCTTGCTGGGATCTTGTATTTCTATTGCTCAAAGTCCTAGACTACACCTCTCTCTGCTGCACATTATCAGCAGGTCATTATCAGCAAGCAAAGACCACGACCCACAGGAGGCAGTTATCAGCTGTGGACAAACGAAAGCCCAAACTAAAACATATTTACATAACATAACTGAGTTTTTAAAGAAACCAAAACTTCCATTACCCCCAGGTCCTCTGGAAAACTAGCCAGTGTTCTTCACTGAGATAGCTTTCCATTCCCTAGAAATTTTTTTTCAAAAATGTTTGAAATAATAACTTAGAAAAAGTCACATAGTGGGACTATCTTGGATGCGCCAGTGATATAAATAATGACACAGAGGTTTATTAATATTTAAAGCTCAGGCCTTCTGCTAAGCAGTCTCCCAACTACTCTAATACACCTAATCCTGACAATACATCCCACGACATGGCCATTCTGATCCATCTCTGCTCCACTCTGGTCCATCTGTTGGCTGAATCTACTGTCTCTGATGTCTTCTCCCAGACTCTCTCTCTCTGCCTGGAAGAGCCACCTTCCACTTTCTGCCCAGATATTAGCTGTCAGCTCTTTATTAAAGTAAATCAGATACAATTCTAGATTGCTTTAGGCAGATGAGAAAGAAACAAATATTTACAAAATAAGAGACCAATGATGGGCCATAGAAATAAGAAAACCAAGATACAGGCAATATTTAGCTCTCTGCCAGTACAGACTTAAATGAATATACAGAGGCACACCGTCATACAATGTGCCTCTGTATGAGATGGGGTTGGAAGTACTGAAATGGACCACTTCTGTTTTAAGTTCTTCATTATTTATTTAATTATTTGCTTCTGTTGTGCACTGCCCTGATGATTTTTATTTTTAATTGTATTTTTGCATACAGTATATATTAATTCAAAATTTTATATATTATATTTTGATCATATTCTTTCCCCTCCCCCAACTTCTCCCAAGTGTACCCACCCAATGATAGTTCTTCCTCTGTATATAATAGTTGATGCAGTTTTCCATGACTTGGCGCCTCTATATATTTCCCAATTTGCATCTCACACAGCTCTTTCTTTCTTCTAGACATAATGTCCATGTTGTTTGGACCACTATATCCCATTTTCTCACCTCTAGACTGTTCTCTGTTTCTGTATCTTTCTTGCCCTTGTATACCTGACTTTCTTGTACTTCATAAAAAAAAAAAAAGTAAAGGCATTTCTGGCTTTGAGGCTTCCTCTTTGTTAGAATGAACATCTAATTAGAATTATACTTTCAAAAGTGAAGACTCATAATGCATGGCTTACATTTATCATAAGAAAGTCACATTTTTCTCATTAAATAGTCACTGACCTTTATCCAGACAGCAAATATAAATGGCCTATAATCTTTTGGAAATAAAAATAATTTCAACTTATATTTTATGTGTTTTCTGAATGCCAGTAAAAATAATTTATGTGGTTTGGTACTGTGTTTAATAAAAACTTGCCATCTTGGGACCCACACTGTGGAATCGTGGCTGGGGTTGGGGACTATCTAACAACTTGGGGCCGACAGAGAGGCCTTTCACACATGAAAGCGCTACATGAGCTGTGTTCTTTTAAGGAAGAACCTTCTCTATATTGACTTGGATTAATATGTTGTTGATTTTAAGGTCTCCGCCTCCCCTCCACCAACCTCTCCTCCTCCTTTTTTGTTTTTACTCCTTCTCCAGTTCCTAGCTTAAAGATCTTTCTTTTTTTTTCAGGCCATGTCCTCATGTTCAGGCTGTACAGCCTGTGAGCCTTCTTTCCACATCAGCCATCCCCTTGATAATGACCTGTGTGATATTTCCCATTGCATGGAGACTTTGTCAAGGCAGGATGTCTCTCATTCACAGAGGTGCCTGCCACCCCAAATATACACCAGGTTGGCTGTGGATATTCCCTGCACTAACATATTCTAAACAAGCCTGTAATTGCAGGGAAGATCAGAAGCAGAGTACCAATGCCTGTTTCTGCCTGGTCCTCAAAGGGCCATCCTTATCCATCACTGTGCAGGAAAATCTTTTGACTCATCCAGAGAAAAGCTTTAGTGGTGCAGGTACCATTCTCTATGTCTAGCCTCTGAATGTAGGCTTCATAAAATTCTGTATATGAGTGTTCTACTCCTGCCTGGTGCATCCAGAGACTAGAAGATGTCATTGTATCCCTGGAATGCAGCTAAAAAATGATTGTGAGCCAGAAAAGCCAAGGTTTACTTCATGAAAATATCACATCTATACATACCTATAAGTGATGAAAGAAGAGAGCATCACTTTTACATGTTAAGTGTAAATAAGGGATTATGGAGAGGTAATTATAATTAAAACTGTAAACTTTATCAAGCCCCAGGTGAAAGAAACAAAACTGAATGAGAGACTTTGCGGACAGATGGAGAAAGGAAATGCTTCACCTTGAGGAATAAAGAGGAGCTCACTTTGAGGGCAAAGTCCCTCAGTGACCACTTAAATTGACACACTACATCTTATCAAGGGATCCAACATGTTGCCAGCCCAGAGGAGCAGCTGGGCCAGTTCACTTTAACAAGTCTTTGAACAAGACACCCCCCCCCCTTTTCTAGTTTCCAGCAAACTTATGAACACTGCTTGACCTTATTGTCCTTTCAAAGCAGCAGGTACAGAATTGGAGAAGATTTTTTACCAACTACACATCTGAGAGAGGGCTGCGTTAGTCAGAGCTCTCTAGAATAAGAGAGCTTAAAGAGTGAGCATCTATATACAGGAGGAAGATTTATTAGAATGATTTACTGGTTGCGGTCCAGATAATCCAGCAATGGCTGCTCATGGGTAGAAAGCTCAAGAATCTAGTAGCTGCTCTCAGTCCACAAGGCTGTATGGGATGACTGGTCCTTGGTACACACTGGAATCCCAAAGAAGCAAGTTCTGATGCCAGTGAGGGAATAGATTTGCTAGGGAAGGCTTCCTTCTTCCAGATTCTTTATATAGGCTGCCAGCAGAAGATGTGGTCCAGATTAAATGGAGATAATGCTACCTCAAAAGATCTGGATTTTTTTATCTCTCCATCTTAAAGCTACAAATTAGAAGTGGCTCTTCCCACTTCAAATGATTTAATTAAAAAAAAATCCTTCACAGGTGTGTCCAGTCATTTGGGTTTTTGTTAATTCCAGATGTAGCCAAGCCTGACAACCAAGAATGACCACCAAAAGATCTAATATCTAAAATATATAAAGAACTCAAAAACTGTAAATTAAGAAAACAAATGGGGTACCAATCCAGAGAATTCTCAAAAGAGGAAACACAAATGGCTGGGAAGCATTTAAATGCTCAAAACCCCTTAGTCACCAGGAAAATGAAAATCAAAACTACTTTGAAATTGCACCTTACTCTAT